ACCTGGAGAAGGCGCACCAATTTGCACTTGGCGCGCCTTCTCCAGGTGTCGCCTTTGCTGTGTTGTGGTCATTAACTGTAATTACTCTAATTAAACTGCTCATAGTGTGCCAAAAAGCACAGAAGATTGCATTGTCATCAGTTTCTAGGCTATCCTGAAAGTTTCAGCTTGCTAGCTAGTCTGGAAGTGAGTGAAATTCGAGTTTCAAAATTTGATCCGGACAAACAGACAGACAAGAAAGTGAGTTCATAAAAATGTGGTAAAAATAGGACAGCCCGTTTTCGCCTTGTCGCATATTACCGGAACTCAAACCAATGCGCCATAATTTAGTAAATGCCGTAATTTTTTTAATCCGCTCGCAAATTCAAAAAAAAATTATTTCAAGGGCACAAGCCCACTCTGCAGCCAGTTCGTGAAATTTGAAAAAGAAAAATTTTTAGGAAGTCCCTTTGCTCCAGCATGTTGCATCGGATGGAATCTATAACCTCAAAAAATGTAATGCAATCATTTTGATTTATTAATTGATTTTGATTGACATGATTTTTATTGTCATTTTCGATCGAAGGGTTCAGCAAATACTCTTCCTGATAATTTTAATTTCTCCAGCTATTTAATAGATTTCGTTTTCAGAGATTCTTTAAACTTTTATTACTTTCCAGTGTTCGTCTCCGGCCCTTTATCAAAACTGCTGCCGACACGAGCATCGTGCCTCGCTTGCTCCCTGGTGATGACTTCAAGTCTGGTTTTGCTCTCGCAAGCGGTTCATGTGTGGCAATTCGTCGCCATATTTTCAGTAGCTTATAGTAAGTATCCCAGATGTCATTCTTGAGAAGAAAAAAAACATTTTCGAATTGTAATCCTGTACTGTACTATACAACATTCCAACGAACGACAGGCTTGGCATCCGGCACAATATTTGGTCTCAGTTTCCTGCTCGTCAACCAATATTTCGACAAGCGAAGAGGACTCGCCATGGCTGTATTCTTCGGGTTTTCGTCCATCGGAAGAATGATTTTGCCTTTGATGTCTGCAGCCCTTTTGCCGATGATGGGCATCAATAATACTATTCTCGTCATTGGTGCTGTTTGGGCAATCACGATCCTGGCAGCTGCATTGCATAGGCCGTACCAAAAGCCGAAACCTCTCCCGATTATCAGCTCATCGTCGGATGTTAAGCTCGCGGATGGGTCTCGAATTGATCCAGTGTTCATAAACCCGAAGAAAACTGTTGAACTTGAGAAAAATGAAAATAGAAGTCTCAAAGTTTGTGATGGAGAGTCCGAAGCATACACGAATGCCGGGTACATCGAAAACGAAATTACGCCTCAATTCGAAGACCGGAAAACGGAAGAGAAAGCTGAGCAGCAATCTGAGACGACCACAGAAAACACCCAAGAGTGAGAAAATTGAATTTTTCAAATATTTTCACATGTTTTTCAAGTGGGGTAAGGCGGGGAAATATGAGATAATACGTTCTCAAGTTTTGGTCGGTAACACTGAATCGACGGCGGTTCACTCGTCCACACTTGATTCGCAAAGAAGTAAATATTTTTGCGAGTTCTAAGTAGAGGTTTATCATAAATTTCTGTCTAAATAAAATTGAGACCATGTGAAAGAGGGGAAAAAATCGTGGAATAGTTAGGATAATCGCAGATGCCGAGTGGCTTGAGAAAACTGAAATATTTTTGGCTTTTTTTTTTACTTGGGCTCGTGTCTGGTGACTGGAAAATTTGAGGAAATGAGTGGCATCCTATTTTTGTTTGTCGAAATAACGTGAGAACGATGAGTGGGAGAAATTGAAGAATAATATGTACAGGACAATCATATGGGGGAAACAAAGGTTCGGGTTCTTTTCCATTGTCGGGGAATGAATCACTGGGATTTCCCCCGAAAATCCCCAAAACGTTGACCTACCCTTATTGTTGTAAAACTACTATAGAAGCATTGCTGTTGGAATGATGCCACTGGGTTTTTCCCTTCTTTCAAGCACACATGCGTCCTGGAATTGCGCATTAAAACGTTGGGAGAAAAATTAATTATAAAGTGATTTGCGGTCACATCATTCTGACGCCGGTCAAAAAAATTTAAAACCTCTCTCTCTCTCTCTCTCTCTCTCTCTCTTCATCTCTTCATTATTAACAAAATTCAGACAAAACGGTGAAACTGAGAGGTCAAAAGGATGCGGTTCGTCACTCAGCCTGTTCCGCCACTTGAATTTTGAGCTGTTTCGGAATCCAATTGCACTGCTCATCATGTTCTCAGAGTGTTCTTCATGGACTGCAATCAATCACATTTCTTACATGATAAGTGTGATGACGAGGGAACACGGTTTCACGAATGCTGAAATTGGCACTTTCATGGTCATCCCGGCGGTCATGGACCTGATCGCCAGGATGACGGTGCCTCTGATGCACGACAAAAATTGGCTGCACCCGAAAACTGCATACAGCTTCGGTTTGCTGTTCATGGCGGCGAGTGCTTTTGGTGAGACAAGATCAGATTCTTTTTTTTTTTTTTGCAAAATTTGGAGCATTAAAAGTACTCGCAATGCATTACATTGGATCTGAAGAGTATTACCGTGCGTAAAATTTTCAAACTTTTTCATAATTTGAAACCAAGCTCCATCGAGTGGGTGTCCCTTTACACGTTCTTTGAAGTTTAATGGAATGACAGGGATTTTTGACGAGCTTTAAAAAATAAAAATCCACCAAAAATCATATTCAATTGAAAAAGCCAACGTCACATGAATCGAAAGTATAATGATTGAAGAAAATTTATGGAGGATTGATCATCAACACTTGTGCTTTTATCAAGATTCAAGTAAGTTTGCAATATATATAATATGGGGAATTCAGCTACATAGGCACACGACAATTTTATTTGGAATCTTTTGAGAAAGACATGCTATGAAATGTACAATGCAATATTTTTCTTTTCAAATTCCTCTTTTACGTTAACGTGTTTTCAGCCGCCGACTTTTGCGCGGAATTTGTACTTCTTGTAAGAAAAAAAGCAGCACTGACACGCATTACTTATTATGCAGTTGTAATTTTCATATTTTATTCCCGCTGAATACGAATGACAGAGTCAATCGTCTAGTTACTCTGGTAAACAGAAACCTAATTTTGCACTTCGTGAATTTCGAAATTTTCAAAAATTCTACCTCTTCCAATGTTCCAGGATGGATATACATTTTAAAGTAATAACTGAACATGTTCTGCTTGCAACTCGATTTTTGCTCAGACTTGTTGAAAGGAAAATGAGATTGGGTCAAAAGAAACCTTAAAAATACGAGGGAACTCGCATGCTTCATAGAATTTCAGAAAATCGAAGAGCTACCAGATATTCATGATAATTTTAAAAAGCTCGTTAGTAAAATTCTTCGAATTATATTTATGTTTTATAGAAAAAAATTCCGATCGGGGCTATTTTCGTGCTGATTATGCTGATCGTGTATGTTTCTCTAAAATTTTAATTGCGAAAAAAGGGTCGCGGTTCAAATTTAATTGAATCCTAAGCCAATGAGCAGAAAGTTCTTTCACAAATTTTAGTTGAAAATAATATTGTGGACGATTTCGAATCAGAATTTGAGCACCGAAGAACTTACTTTAAAGATAAATTATTGAAAAATCCGTTTGAATCTATACGCACCTGAGTAACAAGGTGAACAAAACGCAGTAGCTAATTAACAGACGACCACTGTAATTTAAATGAGCTCCATGTTCATTTCCTCTGTAACTCTGTTTCCAAAGCCAATAAAAACTCGTGTCTGTGTTAATCACCAAAAGTGCGAATAAATCTGACAAGCGAATGAAGGGAACACCACTGCGTCGTAACATTTCTATGGAATAATGGAAAACCAAATGAGCCAACTTTTATTCGTTTATCTGAATAAACTGTATAATTTTCAATTATTTATCGCGCCGTTAGTTTAAAAAAATTCTTAGATGAAGCTTCCGCTTCTCTTTTCACGGGCGAGAATGTTGCGCAACAGACGAGTCAGAATTAACTGCGGACGAAGAAACCTCGACGACAGGATAAGTCTTTACGTGTACAAATTAAGACTCATGTGCGAAACATCTCTATGCTGCTCCGACTGCTGGAAATTTTACATCATGTTTTTAAAACTTGTAAAATTCCCAATTTTCTCTGAGAAAATTAATTTCTTTTTTTTTCAGGGTTCCCTGTAGGACCCCGAACGTCTTGGGCGATCATGCTGTGCTGCGGCCTTTTCGGATTCGGACAAGGCTGTTCAGTTTCGCACTTCGGCCTGGTCGCAGTTCGCTATTGCGGACTTCCGCAATTGCCTTCCATGCGAGCTTTCAGCGGGATGTTACCGGCATTCTTCATCATAGCTTTCGGTGGCATCATCGGTGAGTTTCCCCCTATCAAGAGGTTTCCCATTGTGTTTTGAATAGTTATGTAAGCTGGTCTGTGTCAGTCCGTACTACTGTACTGTATGTGGTTAAAAACAAACGATTATGCAATCGTAATAAACGCGGAGCTTGTGATTGAGATTGTGCCTGATATAGTAAGGCAAGAGCTTCTTTGTCTGAGGACCAGGTTGGAAACCTGTTTTCTTCCTGAATTAATTGAAAAACAACCCTGGAAGGACTTGGAGCATTGGTTTTCTTGTTGAACTCAAACTTTTATCTCGGAAACTGATCTTCGTAACGTCGACAAGCATCCTTATACAGTACAGTAATAGAAAATTTCGGTCGATGAACAGGATTTCCGCATCTGCCTCTTTCCATGTGGAATGAATCTGGACATGAACATCATTTTAAATTATAAGGTACCGTATTCGTGTTAATAACAGGAGCGAATATTTTAGTTAATTATAACCATACTATAAATGATTTCATCGATTACTGTGATAATAAAAGAACCAAACCTGTCAATACTTCCACTGCCTGTCAGGAGCAACGTTAACATGATGGATGGAAATACGCTTCATCGATTGATTAACCCAAAAACGTTGTCAATCGGAGAAAGATTTTTAAAAATTTATGATTGTTGTAAAGAGAGAGGTGCAAATTGAATGAAAAGTCAGTCAAAATCAGAATTTTTTGATATCAGCTCAAGCTGTGTCCTCAAGGGTTAATATGAAAACCCATGTTTTCCGAAAAGTAAAAATCAACTCCATGACTTTTACATGCTATATTTTCGAATGATTTTATTCTTTGCAATCCCACGTTGCATCAATTATCCAATCCTGAAGATTTTTGGAAGATCGAAAATCATTCTTTCACTGTCGAGAAACTCTTTTGGTGAAAATTAGTTTCCATGAAAATTTTTTATCCCTAGAACTTGTTGTGTCCATATTTTCCCTCGGACGCTGAATTTTCGTGGTATGAAATACGTTACATGTACACTACATGAAACATATCGAATTTCCTCCTTAATTTTAATTTCAGGAGCGTTGAAAAATGTGACGGAGTCTTACGAGACGGGATTCTATGCTGTTGGAGCGTTTTCAATAATTCCTGCACTTTTGTGGTGGTTCTGCGAGCCAAGATTCAGTCACTCGACAGAAAACTCCAAAATGAAATCTGATGGAGACTGAAATGCACACCAAATGCCTCCGTGCCGAATGGAAGTTTGAAAGGGATTGAATTTCAAGGACGAAAATCTAGAAATATTTTCGGCCGTTGCCTGCGTCCGAGCAATTTTTTTTATCGTTTAGAACCCGGTCACACATGCAACACTTGAAAAGTGTTGGTTTGAATATCCAGCAAAAGGTTGTGTTCAACATTTTCTAATACTGTACTGTACTATAGCTTTTGTGGATTTGTTTGACTTCTTGAACCGCAGTGATATGTTCCCCAATTTGCATCTACCATTGCCATTGAATGTACATTATCTTGCCTGCGAGAGCAAATGAAAACTTGTGATATTGGAACGAAGAGTTTTTCTCTTTCACTGTGTCACCATATTTGCATGAATCTTATTTTAAAAGATAAATCATCGTTCGATGCGAGTGCACAAAAAATCCTTTCGAAGTACTATAACATCAATTGATATGTATTGTATATCAGTAGCCATAACCAGTCGAATTACTACCGCGAAGAAAGTATTTAAAATTTTTGATTTCACACGAACTTGACAATCAATCATGTGCTCATGACCATGTAGCGATTACTCCGAATTCATTTTTATTGAAATTTTCAATATAGAAAATCTTAATATAGTTGAATAGAGAGGGGAGTCCTAAATAATTCTTATTACTGAACACAAAATGCCTTGCAGAAAATATAGTTCAGCATTGAAAGAGAAGTTCCAGAATACAATCTTTCAGAAAATCGCAGCTATAGAGAAAATTACAGTAGGATGAGGTAAAAACTAATCTGCTTTTTACATAATGATGTCGTTGAAGCATCAGAATGTAACTAAATTCAATTCAACGTTATTTCTTTCCGTTAAAAATATCCCCCCAAACCTGATCGAATGATAGAGAATCAACAGTGCGTGGAACAAAATTAATTGTAAAAATGTACGGTACTATAAAGGGGAAAACGAACAAGAACAAAGCGTGAACCGAAATTCCGGAAGTGAAAGATAATGTTTCTATGAATGCACATGCTTTTTAAAAGAACTGAGTTGAAAATTGCGTCAAACAATAGGTCGTGATGATTCTAAATGTGATGGTAATGAATGATTGCTGTAAGTCCTGTAACCATCTGAGATGAACTGCGCAGAAGAGAATCAGTAGAAACGGGCGTTTGCATTTTGCTATTTGCGACATCTATATGAAACAGCTATATAACTGTTTACGCTACGCAATCTACAAGGTAGATGCCGTTTCTTGAACAAAGAAAATAGGGTGCAGCAGTAAAGCAGCTTTGATGAAGCCGCTGCACTTGCCGCAGTTAAAAAGCGATGTTGCCACCTCCTTACCTCGACATGAACCGCTGCTCTTCCTCATTTTTTCTTCGCCGATAATATATTAGAGTATTCTTTCAAATTTTCTGCATTGTTTTTGTCGAAAGAGTTTGTCATCGCAGGCAAAATAACCTGCGATTAGACAACTTCCGAGGCCACAGTCAACAAGGAAAACATTTCCGGTTTACATTATATCATGCCGAAGACAAAATACCAAAAATGTCGTTTTACTTTGCACATGCGCTTGTAATCAGCGAAATTCCCCTTCGCAAAAAAAGCTTCTTTGAGTACAAAAAATGTTCTATTGACTAATTTTTTCTTGGACGCGATGTTCGTGTGTCCCCCGTGGGCGGTGAGCATTTTTGTTCACAGGCGGTCTTATGAAACAAGCACATTGTTTACCCGTGCCGCCGGGCCAAAGTGGAGACGCAAGCAATCAAAAGAGAATAGAAAAGGCAATTTGAACGAGGTACGCGGAAAATTTGGGGGGGAAAGGGTGTACTTTGTCCCAAGCGGCGCGGCATTCCTCGCAAATCGGCGGTGTTGTCCAACTTTTCTTTTGGCGGCTATCAACCCGTCACGGGTTGCCGGGACTGTTTCGCCGCGTGATTGATAAACGACCCCCTTCAGATTGGATGCGACTCGTGGGATTTGTGGCCTGGTGTGTTGGGAAATTAATCTTGGGAAACGGGGAAGTCCTTGGCTGATGAATTTCTGAGCAATTAAGAAAAAATCAGTCCTCTCCATCCGCCAGGAAGGAACGATGGTTTGAAAAAAATCCATTCCCTCATCATTTTCTAGCAATAGAAAACATCATAATCGCCCATATGAATCATCTTTAGGTATTTCCATGAAACATCTAGACGAATACGGTAGTAACTATTCAGAATATGCATTTGTCTGCCCCATGATCATCAGCGTAACCTGAAATGCAGAAAACCTGGGTAACTTTATAATGATCAGTAGGTCTATCTTCGTATTCGTGATTTAAGAACAATAATAAAATTGATAGTTGCGACGGTTTTTGTTACGCAGGTGGATTCTCTCTAACCCGAAATTCGAAAAAAACCGTTGTACCCAAAAAATCATTGTAGAAGATATCGTTGTATAGGTGGAGTCCACCAGCTTGGAATTGGAGTTTGAACAAATCAATGAACTGATTTATTCCGCCTTCATAAAAACAAAAAGGTCAGATCATCGACAATAAATCGCATTTTGTAAGAAATCAGGCAACCTAAGCATACAAGACAAAAATATTTGAAAATTTTCCTTTAAAATTGCCCTGGGACTTATCAGCTGGGAGTATTTCGTGTTTTTCCTGATACTGTACCCGTGTACCGGCATTATATGGCAAATAGAAAATAATGTACAGTATTGTATCACACGAGTGGATTCCTTCGGGAGCGATCTATCATCTTTACAACGAATTCTTTTTTGATTAAACACAAATATGCTTGAAATTCATCATCATTTAATTTTAATGCATCAGCAATATGCATTAATTTCTGTATCCTTGAATGAGGCTTCTTCTTGAGCGAGACTTATTGTGATTTTCGGAATTTAAAAAGGAATGAAGACGGTTAGTTGCTTCGACCATGGCCTCTTTTGGTCTTTTGATTCTCAAATTCGCCGGGAAATAAATGCGAATGATGAAGTTTAAGAACTCTCGTTAAGTGAAGGTCCCGCTCCATCCTGAACGAAAGATCTATGCATTTCCGTAATTCAAAACTGCAATCGTCCGTATTCGTCCCACACTTTGGAAAAGAAATAAATCTGATGCAAAATGAAGAGGAAAATGCAACCTTCCACGAAGCAATCAATGCCGTGAAATGAGTGCACACTCTTCGGCTTCATCTTCCTTCTCCAGATCGATCGAAGAGCCAATTTTGCAAAAATCGATTGGCATTTAAGCTCAATCATTTCGAACGAAAAAAAAAATTCCCTCGCAATCCTGACCTCCGTCGTCTGCATTTGTTTCGATCGTCGAGTGGCTCTGTTCCTCTCAATTTTGCGAAGTTCAAAAGGTGAAGCGAACACAAAGAGGTGAAGAACCGTTCGCCGTGAATTCATTTTTGCCTTTTTCTGAAACCCGTCTGAAGGATGCAAGGCTTTGCCACCTGCGGTAAAATTCATGAGAAGGTCATGCGAAGCCAACAGAAAGATGGATTGCGGGATGTTGCCACAAGTTCGGTTTGGAGAAAAAAGCCATTCAGTATCCTCTTGGCAACTGGGAAATGAACGAGGAAAATCTTCGGCGCCGTGAAAGCAAATTAATCATTTTCCGAACTCTAAGAAAACTGAATTGTTTCATTGTTCCGTCCGGCGTTGAGGAGTTCATTCAAGTTACGCATTGTAACTAAGATATTGGACACGTGAATGATCTTCCTCGGCATTAATTTTCAAAAATAAATGTACAGTATAGTACAGTACTGTACATGCAATGGAGTCAATACGCAAAGATTGATTCTTTGGTCTAAAAGAAACAAAAACAAATGCATGATGCTGCAGACGCTTCCTAATTTAAATTGGTGCAATTGGTTAATATTTCACTTTCATCAAAATTAAATGCTAAATTCAGCTTCCGTGGAAAAAAATGGCCGATACTTATAGGGCTCGAGTGGCATTCGGAAGTTGAAATAATGGTCTTTATCGCAAGCAAGATACAATTTTTTTAATTTTAATACACGTAAATAATCCTAATTCTGCAGAAATATAAATGGATCCAATATAGGTTTTACGAGTCAATTTCACGTTCGTTTCCTTTCCTTCCCAGCACCGTACACTTGCATTTATCCCGATGATGGTTCCACAGTTTTCCATCCTTTCTTTCCAACCTATTTTGATTGAAAATCTTGAAGTATGACCATTCTATAAAGATACATGAAACATCAATAGTTTTTCATGGCGGATTCTTTGAAAGAATTGAAGAGCGATTTTTCTGCAAGGTCACACAAAACTCGTTGCTCCCAGAATTTATTCTGAAAGTGGGATCATTTTGGAATATTTAAACAGTCCGGTCAGTTAGCCATAGTGGATGGATTAAGATTCAATCTAACTCTGAAATAATTTCCGGTGGAGGTTATTTCATGCGATTAGCTGCTTGAAAAATTCACCTGAGAAAATTTCAGTGGTCCACGTGGAAACGAACGAATCTTTCTTCCACGAATTTCTCACAAAACTGGTTTGTTGATTCTCGCGAAGAAAATACTTCCAGTAAGAAAGGATATCGTATTTGAGAATTGCGCAACGTTTGCGCAAAATACTGTCGCGTGTTTGGCGAGATTTTTGCAGTTTCTCTTTTTTGCCCGTTTTAACTGAATATTCCCTGATTTTTATGCCTTCCGGTCGTTTGCGTTCGGACCCCTTCAGTACCTATGAAAAACGTTCGAAGAATTTTAACGCCCCCCACAAAAATAGCCGCAGACTCGTCGGTTTCCCGGAGGGAAATGGAAGCGTTTTCAGCTGGTGCGTGCTTCTAAAAATACTGTACTTCTTTTTGCTCTTTCCTTAGTCATTTCGATTCGAAATATAGCAAGGATAGTTATAGATGAATTATTTTCGTTAATATTGATTCGCCTGTCGGTTGTCGATTATACATGGATCATTGATGATCGCAGCAGTGGCGGGATTTCAAAACACTTCGAGTATGAATAAGTGCTTAGACGGCGCCACACAGGAAACGAAGAGGTCAGACCAAAGTGATGGACAATAACGGGAAGAAAATACGCCCAAGATTTTTATTAATATAACAACCAGATATTGAATGGGGCATTTATCAGCTCGTGAGAGATTGCGTGGGGCTGAGGGCACCACATTTTTTTAGATCTCCAAAATTAATTAGTTTTGAGGAAAAGCCTCCCAGAGGACACAGGATTATTTTTCTCGGTTGAAGCGATTGCCGCATTCAAAAAACGGAAAGAAGTGGAGGAAGGGAAAATGTAATGTTTTCGAACGAGTCCGAAGATTAGAAGTCAGACCGAAATGACGATTCGGACATACATTGACTGGATAAACCGCCCTAATGGG